ATAGAGTGGAAAGCCTTGAACGTCAACTAAAGACGACGAACTTGGAAATAAGAAACGTCCCCCAAAAGTTAAAGGAATCCAAGGAAGATTTATCGGAACTAATTGTAAACACTGGCAAAGTTCTTAATGTTTCACTGGCAAAAAACTGATATCCGTGATATATATCGCATTCATAAAAAGAATGAGCAGAACACGCCGATAGTTGTTGAGTTTTCTAGCGTATTATTAAAAGAAAACCTGTTGAAGTCTGTCAAGAAGTATAACTCGGGCAATAAAGAAAATAAATTCAACACAACACTGATGTCAATTGATGGCCCCAAAAAACCGGTGTATTTTGCTGAAAATTTGACATATAAGGCGAAAAAACTCTTTTATGTGGCTCGAGAATTTGCAAAATCAAATAATTACAATTACTGCTGGACTGCTAATGGGAGGATCTTTCTACGAAAACGTGAAGGCCAACCGCATGCAGTTGTCCACTCAGAAGCTGATTTGACTAAATTGAAGGAACAACAATGACTAGTTTTAATGATTTTTAATTTCTTATGTACGTTTTTGTGTTTCCAGGGATTGTTTTTTTCGGCTTTTGTTTTGTTTTTTGCTACTCTGTCTTAAAACTTACCATATACCACACACTACAGCACATACCTCATACATACACATACTTACATTTTTCTATATCGCAAAAAACACACCATCAATAACACCACACATAATATCCTATATACAGGTAAAACCAGGTTATTCATTAATTATAAAGAGTACATATTAACTAAAATTTAGCCATAAACAGAATTTTACTTTATCCCGGCACCAGTCAATTTGGAGATTTATATAGGGCCGGCTCAATATTTGCATCAATAATTCGTGCTATATTTGAACCACTTATTCTGAGCTTTATTTGTTTGATCTATAAAATAATTAATTTTTAAATTCAATGATATAAATGATATTCAAAGCGATTTAGATTCGTATATGATAGCTGACACGGCAGTTTGCACAGCTGAGGACTGTCACTCCTTCTTACCGCAATCAAATATAACTTCCCAGATAAAGATTCTACAACAAAATATCAGAAGTATAAACCGTAACATACACGAACTTTCAGTTAATCTTGTTAGGACCAAAGTAAGCTGGATTATATCATATTGACGGAGTGTTGGCTGCCATCTACCCCTAACATTCCTGTTATTGAAGGTTATAAATGTTATGCGACGGCAAAAAACCTTACGCAAAAACGAAGGAGTGGTCATTTACCATAGACAAGAGCTACTTGTCGAAATTATTGAGCCGGACATGTCCGAGGCTAATTGTCTGATTTTTAAACCAAACTTAAATACAATAATACTAGCAATATACCGTCCACCGGGTTATAAAAATCTTAATATATTTTTAAAATCGCTTCAACATCTACTATTAAAGTATGAAAAAAATACAAAACATTGTAGTCCTTGGTGACATAAATATAGACATTGGCGAAAATAACAAAAAATGCTGATTCGACTCTGTACTTGGATATGATGGCATTCCATGGCATTCAATCGGCTTACACTCTTCCGACACATGGTAAATCTTGTCTGGACCACATCTTTTAAAGACCAAACTTAAGGCTCAGTGCGTAATAATAAAAAACAGCTCTTACCGACCACGATAGTGTTGCACTATACCTCACGGCTCAGCAAAAGATCAAACCACCTAAGATTCTAACAAAACTGAACCATCCAAGATTATCAGAGGACTTGACGCACACCGACTTTAGTTCATTATATACCATTGATAATGTAAACGAAGCTACCGATTTTCTTGTAAATATACTAAAATCCTTAATTACGTCCAACACAATTAAAACTGTACCTTCTAAAAGAGGAAAAGCATTAAAACCATGGATCACACCCGGTGTGCTTAAATGTCTCAAAACTCGAGACAACTTGTACTTAAAAACTAAAAGAGAAGCAGATAACGATACCCTCCGCACTATATACAAAAGATATAGGAATTTTTGTTCATCTCTAATTAAAAAAAACTAAAAACTGAATTTGAAAAGTTGCAGCTACAGAACAGTAAAAATAATAATAAGAATTATGGAAGATAATAAAAGAAATCACGTATACTACCAAACACAAAGAAACTACCTCAGAATTAATAGACAAACAAAACCCGATATTAGCCATAAATAATGTGAATACGTTCTTTGCGAACATAGGCAAAAATTTAGCTGAAAAAATAAAAAGAAACTCTGAAGCTCAACCAAATATTTTAAAATCTAACCCACACTCCTTTATTATGCTACCAACAGACCCCGAGGAGGTTAGTTCTCTTATCAGGAATCTTAAGGTAAACTGTGCCGTGGGCCTCGACGGTATCTCTGCCGATGTACTTAAAAATAATATTAACATACTCACGGATCCTATTACCCACATCTGCAACTTATCGATCTCGTCTGGGGTGTTCCCAGAGGCTCTCAAAAATCTAAAATTTGTCCGATTTTCAAGGCTGGTGACAGAGACTGTGTCAATAATTATAGGGCCTATCTCTATTCTATCTACTTTGTCCAAAATTTTAGAACGGCTTATAAACCATCGACTTGTACAATATCTGGAAAATAACAACTTACTAGCACAAGCCCAATACGGCTTTAGATCAAAAAAGTCCACGGCTGATGCCGTCCATGACTTAACGGATTTTATAGTTTACCAAACTTGATAATAAACTTAAGACAATAGCCATTTTCTGGATCTTGCCAAGGCCTTTGACACAGTCTCTGTCCCGATTTTAACTAAAAAGCTTGAGTGTCTGGGAATAAGAGGTCTTCAGTTAAATTTGTTTGAGAGCTATTTGCGAGACCGTAAACAGTGTGTTCAAATGGATGGTCTGACTAGCAGTGAAGCGTCAATTTCTTATGGTGTTCCTCAGGGTAGTATACTAGGACCAACTTTATTCTTAATATACATAAACGATTTATGTGAACTTAAAACTCCCTCGGGCCAAAATCGTGACTTTTGCTGATGACACAGCTCTTCTTTTTAGTGGAATAACTTGGGATCAGGTGTTTCTGGATGCTCAGCTAGGTCTAAATACAGTTAACAAGTGGCTCCAAATGAATACCCTTACGTTGAACGTGGCGAAAACACGATACATCACATTTTCTTTAAAAAGCGCCGATACTTTTTTGTTCTACTAAACAATTAACTTTTCATTCCTGCAATAATTTAATGATCCGTATTGTAAATGCCTAAAACTTAATGCAGCGGATAATATTAAATATTTAGGCGTAATAATTGATAAAAATCTAAACTTTCAATGTCATATTAACGCTCTGGCAGCTAGGATACGAAAACTGATAGTTGTATTTAAAAAATTTGAGACTGTGTGCGGACAAAGAGCTTATCAAACAAGTTTATTTTGCGCTGTGGCGAATCATTGATAGGGTATTGCATAACTTCTTGGGGTGGTGCTGCAAAGACACATCTGCTGAAAGTTGAGAGAGCGCAAAGAGCCATTTTGAAAGTGGGTAACTCATTGCCTTTCTTCCATCCTACCGCTGATCTATATAGAGAGCTAAAAGTGTTGACCGTTCGTCAACTGTTTATTCTCTACACAGTTTTAAGGAAACACTCTTCCATTAGCTATAAACCTGAACAGGTAAAAGCTCTGCGTAGAAAAGATAGAGTTTGTGAAATAATAAAATACAACACAACCTTTGCGCATCGATTTTTCTGTTTTCAAGGAGCAAGCCTATATAATATAGTGAATAGAATTCTGTCAATCTATTCACTCAATAAATCAAGGTGCAAAAGTACTATAAAAAATATGGCTTCAAGATCTTGACTATTACACTACAGAAAATATAATAAATAAATAGGAATATAACATATTTTTTTCCCTTTTTACATTGATATTACAAACACACACACACACACACACACACACACACACACACACACACACACCATACACACACACACACACACACACACATTCATGCACAACCTGTAGGCAAAAGAAAAAATTAAAAAAAAAAATGTTCTCTTAAATTACCTTGCTGAACCATGTTGTTGCGTGGGTACCGCATTTTAGCTGTCTTTTCAATATGAAAATTGTTGTATTCAAATTATCCAGGGGTGGGGACCTGGTGATCTGTAGGACAGGCTTATGCCTATGTCAGACACCAGTTCCTCACATATACAGAAATTTATGTTACCACAACCCTAAATAGAATTGTACCATGAACTTAAAATGTATATTGTGAGGAGAAATAAACTTTATTATTATTATTATTATTAAAAATATATATATATATCGAATATATAGCGAATTAAAATGTAAAAAGTTTTTTAATCTTACCTTAAAAAACAATTATCGTAATAGTTTACATTATATTATTTAAATTATTAGTTTACATGCCTAATAAGCCTAATTCCGTGTACATAAAATATCGAATTACACTTATTACGCAGATGAAAATAAACTTAAAAATAATAATTACAGAAAACAGATTTACTCAGTAAATTAAGAACTACAGAATTATTTTAAGGGGACACTGTTCGTTGATATGGTAAATTGGCAGGATCCAACACAGAAAAACCTGTATATGTTGAACTTCTAGATCCCTAAACTTGACGAATGATTAGTTTACCGTCTTTCGTGACAACAGTAGCCCATATTCACCTTTATCTAATTCGTCTCTTCAACAAACGCGTTAAAAACCCACGAGAGCAGAATATTCTTAAAAAGCAATGTCAATTCTCATATTTAGTTTTATTTCAAACCTCTTGATACATTTATAATTGAATATTTTTAGTGCTTAAATACATTTAGTACTAAGTGCTGTAATTTGAACACTCTTAATATCTCCCGTACTCATATAAGTCATTTCTATACATTTGATCAAATTTTCCGATTGAACGTAGACCTCCCGTTGACCTTTTTGGAATATTCTTGAATATTAACTTTATTCTGTCCTATTTTATAATTAAACAGGTAGCTTAAAGAGTGGTACACTATCCGAACCGTAAAAACAATATTACATCGAATCCTGATATCAGTGTGAAGCCCAGCATTAAACTTAGAAGACCACCAAAGCAGCTGAAAAAAATAACACGGAGCTTATTACAGAAGCTTATAAAAAAATGTATATTAGATTCACATTACTTTGCAATCTATATTTCGGTTCATGCCTTCTTTTGTAAAATCCTCTGGGTACCAACCATAAACCATGAACAACGAGACGTCAGAGTCGAACCGACATAAACCACAAAATGCCTCAAAAACATCTGTTTTATATCGGGTATGTGTGAGTATCTACTCATAGATAGAAAGACAACGCGGTGATTGTTCCATCTATTGTTACCACCGCAGCCACCGTTTATAATAAATTTACACCTTACAATTGCACTGCGCTTTCATGAACACCGAGTGATAAGTGCACTTTCCTTGACAGGCTTTTCAAGGAAAAGGTCACGCCAAAAACAGATCATGACCATGTAAGTTGTTATAGGGATTTTCTAGCTGTCTGTTCGATACTTATTACGATTACGACTTTGATTTTCAAAATCGGTGAATCTGAAGTTTAAGTATAGATCAGTTTCGTTCATGTTAATTTGTTTACTTCTACAACTATCGTGGTTTATGATTTAGAAATGATAAAACTAACACATTTGATAAATGTATTATTTTGATTAATTTGATACGATTGTTTATAACAAAAGATAAAAACATACCTACTTAATTAGAGTGCGCGCAAGTCGTACCGACGCACAACTCCTACATGCGGACATCAAAACTGATAACCTGTCTATGGATGAAATATCTTTCAATCTACATAAATAAAAATTAATCGCCGTAATGTAATGTGAGCGCATAACTTCTAAACGGCTTTTTTGTTTTCGTTATTATCAGGACAAGGTTGGTATAAAAGTAAATTAAAAAAAAAAAACAAGCAGATATTGTTTTTAAAACTCATATTATGAAAAGTGAGTGAAAGAATGAGACAAAAGACTGTGAGGGATCTATACTAATATTATAAAGAGGTAGTGTGTGTGTGTTTAATGTTCGATATAGATAATCTCAGGAACTACTGGTTCGAATTGTTTTTTTTTTTAAAGTTCACTTTCGCGCGGTTACACGCTCTGAGCGTAAGCGAGAGCGAGACAAAAAAAAATCTTTAACAAGAGTTTATATCCGACTCTATAGCAAATGTCTACCAAAAAGCGAAAGAAACTTCGTTCCGATCAAGGGTCCATAGACCCCTTTCCACCGTGTTTATATTGAAGAGAGGGCAAACGAGCAGACGGGTCACCTGATAATGATTGTTGCGAAAACTGGGCTAATTTATTCCTTTGTGAGACGCAGACAAAGTTGCGAGGGCCACCTAGTGATCATTATTTTACACGCTTTTAAATATATTTTTATAAATATTCTGTAATTGTAATTGGTTTAAAATAAATGCAAAAACATCGAGAGCATACTTACCTAAAATATTTTGCCAGTTTAAGTAAACATCACGTCTGTACCTAATAGATACCAATCGTTGAAAAAACACATTTAAAAGCGAGCGATTCTTCAAATTAACGTTTTCGCTGTAATAAAGAAACACAGGCTTGTGAACTTATTTATCTAAACTGTTTTAGAATAACTATATCTCACAATATGCAATAAGTGGCAAAAACTAAAAAGAAACTTACAAAAAAGGAAGACCATTCACGAAGACACTGTCAGCTAGTTTACCCAAAGCAACTTCCAAGGGATAGTCATAATGTTCGCATTCCGGCAAACATTTAAAAAGATTCAATTTACTATCATTCCAATTACGACTAATGAATTCATGCTTCTCTGGAAAATATTAAAGTTACAGAACAGTCTAAACGTTGCTGAAGGGTAAATCCACTATAACTGTAAGTGATTTAACCAATAATTGTATTTGCCTTAGAAAATATTCACGATTTTTTTGACATTCGTATTCAATATGAGGCAGACGAAAAAGAAATCATATAAGGTTGTGGAATGATAATGTAACTGGTAGGACCTACTCAAGATAGAAAAACTAGAAGTAACTAAATTAGAGATACTTTCTCATCAGTCAGGACGTGATAAATAAATTATATACGGTATCAGGTACGTAAAGAAGTGCAAAATATACTCAAAACGTTTTACTAGGAACACTTTCAGTTTGAGTTTCCAAATATTAACAGGTGCGACCTGCTAATATTTGGTAAAAAGAGGGATAAGATTTATTATTGTTGAGTGTAGAACAATAAAGTCATAGAGAATCTTCGTTTATCGATCTCCAATATAATAATCTTTAATTAGTTCAAATCTTACTTAAGTGGTAATGTAAGAAGTTGCGCTTATTTCCATTCTATACCATGAAAGTACGTCGGCAAAATTATATTTTTTAATACTTACTAACAGCCTTTTGTATGCAATCAATATCTTTAAAGTTGCATGTCCGGAAGTCGCCTGAAAATATAAAAACTTCTTAACGCTCCCCAAATCTCAATCAATCAATATTAATCACTGAACTTTATCCTTTGATTAATAATAAAAACCTTACCCACTTCGGTTTTTTTAATTTTGATCTTTTACTTACAATTTATAAATCAGTTTGGAGATCTGTTATTTCGTTGTAAGTTTAACTGTGTCAAAATAGTAAAAATATTATACATATTACAATGAAAGGATAACAACTCTATGAAACACGAGTTCAGCTATTCTAATATAAATAGGTCGCCAAACTAGGACGGCAGGTAATTCTTCTTTACGTTCTACCCTAGATACAGGTTTGGCACGTTCTCAGAAGACCTGGCTGGGAGTTAATGTAAACCGTCCTTTATTTATGTTATTTACTATACAAATGGAAATAATTTCACTTGCCCATGATGCTAACAAGGTTGCTGATCTTCTTTGCTATTCTTTATCTTTTCTCTAGTAATTCTAATTCGTAAGTCAAGTGAACCCAATGGAAACTCTGCTATCGTACTAAAGATCTGTGATCAGATCTGTTACACAGCAGAAAATTATGATCTTTTTGGGTTTCAAGATTTAATAGCATCCACCATCAACGCCAGTGCTTCTCGGTAGTTAGAATATTATGAGTTACGAGACCAAAAAGACCGAGAATACGGTTGCTCTAATGTCGCTCAAATATTCATATTTTTATGTATCTTCTGGAGATCGTTCTGCGTGCACTTAGTACACAGAATATTTCAGATGGGCCATTTCTGATTTTTTGATAGTATATTACTTTTTGATATATATATAGGTAGAGCTCAGAAGAATAGTTCGGACTTATACGAGCCGCAGTTTTCCATTTTGATAATTGGCACCACCACTGCGCTTCCGAACAAGGAAATGTAGTTAATAGATATTATTGTTTGAGCCATCACCACAGTAATAAAATAGTTTAGTTTAACAAAAGTAAAATTACGCATTCCCAGAAAATTATACAAACTGAAAACATCAGATACCATGAACTGATATTTTAATGACAATACTAATGTTTAACTAACTAATATGTATAAGTAAACTAGTATTTTGGTTATCCTGATTTGCTTTATATCAAAACTTTTGCTCGTATATACATACGTGTGTAAAATTTTTGCTATTATTTATTTACGAATAAACTTGGTAGGAAAATACAAACCTTCTGAAGGAAAAAAATAGAGGAACACAGCCACAAACTTGTTCTAATATCTTTACTTTCTGATGCGCCATGCAGTTGTGAAACGAGTATCGACGGAAATTTCCAATTCGAACCTGAAAGAGAAAAAAGCCCCACTGATACATGTTTAGTGATTAAAAAGATTTGATCGTAAAAAAACCCCGGTCACGTTACGTTACTAAATGAGTCATGGCGAGCATCTTCGTCAATTCACTTTATAGCGTATATCAACGCTTGTTGGTGACAAGATATCAAATAATATACAGGATGTGGCGTAAATAGTGGTCCACCATTAAGGATTCGATAAACCAGATAATTTACTATAACAGATTACAATTTATCCATTTTTACCCAAAAGTTCCGGAAATATATATTTTTTTAATTTTTTTTACGATATGTGTACCTACCTACCTCAAACTCGCTCTCGCTGATTTTCCTAGCCGCTGTCTGGATTCTAGTCCTCAAGTGGTCAATAGAGGTGATTTGTTCCTTGTAGACATTTTCTTTCAGGTAACCCCAATAAAAAAAGTCCAGGGGATTTAGGTCCGGTGAGCGCGGTGGCCACAATATTGGACCTAAGCGCCCTATCCACCGATTTGGATACGCTGTGTTAAGGTGCTCTCGTACTCTAACAGCATAGTGAGCGGACAGCCATTCTTATGTAGCCACATGTCTTCTTGGACTTCAAAAAACTTAAATATCTATCTGCGTTTAAAGTTTCTGGCAGCTCGTGTGGACCGATTATCTGTCCATTAATGATTCCAGTCCAAAGGTTTATTTTAAATTGATACTGTGATCTGTCTTGTCTTATGAGATGCGGGTTTTCTAGCTGCCAGCTATGCAGATTGTGTAGATTTAAATATCCATCCTTTTTGCAGGACGATTCGTCGCTCCACAATATTTTGTTAAAAAATTGCGGGTCTTCTCTTATTCTGCGTAGCATTTCTCTACAAAATCTTACTCTTATGGGATAATCTCTTGGTAGTAATGACTGTACCCTTTGATAGTGGTATGGGTACAGTTCATGTCTTTGAGTATGCGATGTACAGATCTACTGGATATGCCAGTTCTGCGACTTAAGACACGGACCGATGCTGAAGGATCTTCAGTAACTAAATTAATTACCTCTTCACCAGTGTGTACTTGCGGTCGTCCTTCACTTGCACTGCCTACTACTGTGCCAGGTATCCTCCCCTCGCTCAAAACCCAAAAACTCGATGATCTGGATGTCTTCGATCGGGATATCTCTCCCGATAAAGTCAAGCTGCTTCTCTACCGACACCTCTGCATTCACCGTAAATAAAATGCATGTCAGCATATTCGCGCGGTGTGTACCGAGACATTTTTGTCACTGCACTGCACGTTTGTCCAAATCTTTGAGCAAGCCAAAGTCCAACTAATCCAATCAGTAGGCAAATTAAGCAGAGTCCGGGGCAGGGATAAAGAACACGACGGAGGTAAACACACATAATAAAAACAAAACGCATACGACGCACGAGTGACGAGATCGTACTAAATTGTTTCGAGATTTCTGGAGATTACAACGTTAGGAATGAAAGGGATAGCATTCATTAGCCATATCTTTTCTTTATCACTCGTATCGTGCGTTACTCAATTGGCGAGAGCTTCAACAGATCTTTGTTTACAAACATGTCTCAGGTAAAAAAAGGGTCGGGCTTTTTTTACCTGAGACATGTTTGTGCTCTTAAAACCAGTTTTGTCAGACTAAAATCATATTTCAAAATTAAAAAGTTACGTTTTATCCGTTTTATAGAATTTAATACGTTTTGTAATAATATTCACCCAATTAAATTTTGAAATGTATTTTAATGAAAATCTTCTTTTCTTCAATTAAAATTGGATATATTTTTGTTAAACAAAAGGATCTGCTATTGTGATACCATTTTGAAATTGGTATTTAGTAGGCATATTTTTAAATGAATGGGCACTGACAGCTTAGTACATTTTTTTTACAAAAATCAGTCTTGAATTAGCATGATATGTTAAAAATTTGGGTTAAAAGTAGAGTAAAACCAATTTTTTTTTCAAAAGCTTTAAATTTACATTAAAAACATGTTATTTAACGATAGCTCTAGTATTCAGCAGTAATTACCAGTAATTAAAATGAAAAAAAAATAATGGTATTTGTTAAAACTACAACCAAATGTGTACACATATCGTAAAAAAAAATAAAAAAAATATATATTTCCGGAAACTTTGGGTAAAAATGGATAAAATTGTAATATGTTATAGTAAATTATCTGGTTTATCGAATCCTTAATGGTGGACCACTGTTTACGCCACACCCTGTATACTATAGTAGGGGAGCCCTAGAAGGAAATTCGGAATTTACTCGAACGTGGCAGATTAACAGAAGGAGAATACCTTACACCCCTTAAAAAACCTATAAAAATCGATGGCTAGAAATACTCGAGCGTGTAAGATTAAGGTAAGTTGAGTTAATTACATACACACTAGTGTGTTTTTTAAAAAAATCTGATGATTTGAGCGTGACATAAAGCAGTGGCAGGGTCACAAAGTTAAAAAAAAACACATGGCCTTGACATTTTTTTCTAAAGCAAACAATGCAAGAAATCTTTAAAGTCTACATAATTTTTCCTGCCTTTATTTGTCACCTTCTATAAAAATAACAATATTCCTAACCGTCAGATATAAAAATACCCTGCAAAATTGTGGTCAGATTTTTGGCTAGTATGACAGAAACATCAAGCTGAACCATCTGTATTAAATTTAACACGCTCTGTATTTCGAAATGGCGATTTTTCAAATCTGCAGTTTGCATTTTCGATAATTCGCTAAGAGCACGTGTGACTTTAAAATCGTCAAACCTTTTAATGGAAACATTTTTGGTGTCCAAATCACATATTCCCAAAATATCTGATGAGCCCGATTTTTTTTTTGCGTGCGTCATTTTTCCATAAGCTAAGAAACTGTACTATACAGTTACAGTGTACAGGCTTATGATGACTTAGTCTTGCCTAATTATCAGCCTCCAAAAATGTATACACAGAAGTAGGTAATAATATTCCAAAGTTGTCTTTCCTATTATTGACTAAATATGTCCTTTTCAGATATAAAAAAAATTTGAGTAAGTTGAGTACCAATAATATTCATCATAAGGATAAAATTTAAAATTTACTGGATTACTAACCTTTCCAATTGATATGGACTATCATTACCTAAATTATCTATGTGTTCCAGAAACCAAACGTTAAAATATGTACACGTTCGTTTTGTGACTGTCCTAAAATTTACTAAGACGGAATTGGAATTAAAAAATAATTACTAAGACATTAGTGTGTGCATTAAAGTTTTTAGACAGGACGACAGTTGTTCGTGAAAGCAAATATCCTCAGAAAAAAAAGTTAATCTAGTTTATCAGACTGTAGTGTGTAATACGTAACATGCACAGTCTAAAAAGTTAGATTAACTTTGTTTTTCTTGTGGACATGTTTACATTCACAAATTGCTGTCCTGCCAAAAATATTTTAATTCACAACCTCATTAATTTTAGTTTAGTTTCGTTACTTTTGTAGTTTTTATGCAATTTAGTTAAACAATAACACAAAATCAAATGTGTACAAAGAAAAATGTGTATTAAGAAAATGAGTAGTAATAATGTTTATTTCTCACCTTAAAATATTACTTAAGTAATCTGAATGAAAGTTTTGACATTGAACGATGATAGTAAACTGATGATGATTTTATAATAAGATATAATAGAGAATGAAGACTGAAGCGAAAAAGGTCCAGCGTAGCAAAATTCTGATGCTGACTGTAAACGCGCATGCCTGTATCTTCAGGGGGTTAGATTGGTTAAGACCCGTTATGAAGGATTGGCTCGAGAGGCATCACGGCACCCTCTCATACCGACTGACGCAGGTGATCACTGGGAAAGGATGTTTCGGGGATCACCTGTGTCTGATCCGCAAGGAGCCAACGCCTGAGTGCCACCACTGCGATGGACTGTCGGACCGTGGACACGGCGCTCCACACGCTGGCAGAATGCCCGGCGTAGGTTGAGCAGAGGCGTGACCTCATGGCGGCCATCGAAGTGGGAATTCTCTCACTCGGTAACATGATTGCCGCTATGATACAGAGCGAGAGAGCGTAGAAATCCGCGGTCTCCTTGGATGAGGTCATCTGTCACCCTAGCAGAAGCAGGCCGGGGTGGTAACGAGACTCGCTGACAACACGCGCGCCTTTTCCGGAGCACAAAGGGGACATAGGTGTTCCCACACAGGAAGGGATCATCTATACGCCGTAGATGGCCCGAGGTACGCCGGGGTACAAGGGATTTCCTTT